ACACACACACACACACACATACATACACTCACTCAGGTTTACAGTCAAATACATGATATAAATGAACAGTAATATAAAACATACTAATCTTAAGCTAGATACATACTCAGTATTTTAACTGTAACTCAATGTTATTCTGATGCATGCTCTAAGGTCATGTGAATACTTATACAAGATGGTTGAGATGGAAGAATTTTGATGGGTGATGGTAAAAATGACCTTTTGAATCTTTCTTTGTGACAGATCAGAAGTCCTGGTCTATTACTTCTGACTGATATTTTTTTATCTGAAGGAACAAGGGATGTTTATTGTCTAAAAAGATGGAACTAATCTTTTTGTGTGCAAGCTGCACTGTAATGTAAAATTCATCCAAGTAGGGGAATGTAGAGGTTGAAATTTAGTCCGCAAAGTTTTCTGGCTAAAGTCTCGAGGGTCTGGACATTCAGCCACAGGCACGGAAACAAAACGGTCTTGAACTTCTTAATGACTTATTCTTAAATGTAAGATTATTCTTCGGCACTTATATGACCTTATTGCAAGTATTGTAAAACTCTTACTTAAACTATTATTATTAGATTATTCTAACGCCGTGATCGACACGCTTTAGATCATCCTAGAGGCGTGCTTCAACACGGCCAGTCAGGACGAGCCCAGACTGAAAGGCATACAAGTCCCAGCAGAAAGACTGACATGCATTCCATTCAATAAAAAATTTCCCCCGCTCAGGAATCGAACTCGGATCTTCTGTGTGGAACGGAAAATTCATAAACAGCAATAGAAACTATAAGTATGGCACTTAACTCCCGTGTGCTCACAATTCTAGGCGCTCTACCTACATTCAAGTAGAAAGAGGAGACGACTCTGGTGTCCTTTGGTGTTGAGCTTCGCGGAGCTGGTAGACCTCACAATGATTCTTCCTTAATTAATGAAAGATGAACTCCTCTACCCCTTCCCTGTGGATAGCTCTGGCGCCCGTGCCCACATTTATTACTGTAGCCCTCGTCTCTTTTGAGAATATACAATTACAGGCTAATCAGATTTTTACTTTTGATGAATTGATTCGTCATTGCCATGTGGGGTTTGTTTTTGTGTTATTTTCGTTTCTCTTTAGTATGGTGAACAAGTCAAGAAAGCAGTGAAGGGGAAGCAAGACTTTATTTAAAAACAACTCACCCCCACCCCTCACACACACACACACACACACACACACACACACACACACACACACACACACACACACACACACACACACATACACACAGTATTATTCCTGTATTGTATTTTAGCGTCTTTATCTTTCCGTTGAAAGCCTAGTGTAGAATCAGGCACAGCTTTGGAACAGTCGACGCAAACAGCTTCCTAAATGGTCTAAGTTGTGTAAATCGGGCCGTAAAACATTCTCGCAAATAATAAAATAATAAACACAGGGTATACATGTAGTTCTTCCAGAGAGTTTTACACGCACCTTGTGGGGTGTAACTGTTTACATGAAAAAACAATCTTACATTTATTTAATTTTGTTTTCTCTTTCTTTTTGTCTCTCCAGATACACCTAGTGCGTACGTGCGACCACCCAGCCAAGATGCGAACAGCCGCCATCTGCGTTGTTCTTCTGCTGTGCACTGCTCGGTCCCAGTGCTCTGACCAACAAGTAAGTACCACGTCATCTACTCACCCTGCAGTTTGGGTAAAAGTTTTACGGTGCTCGCAACTGCATTAGGTCGTATGAGCTCACTTACTTACCTTTAACCCGAGGGAGTTTTACTGTGCTTGTACATTTGTTTGTTCATTCATTGTAATGCTTTTTTATTTAATTGTTTGTTTCGTTTTTGTTTTGTTTGTTTGTTTGCTTTATTGTTTGCGCGTTTGGTTTTTTTCATATAGTACGAACAAACAGTGCTCCTGTTCGGCACATAATTTTACGTGCAGAACTTAATTAGGATTTGACGACAGTCTCAAACAACATTTGAAATTACGAATATGAGCCACTTCCTTATATCGGATGTGAAAAGGGAGGGAGATGGGGAATGGGGAGGGGAGGGAGGATGAATAAAGTAACTCCGCAAGTAAATGCCACTCTTCTCTCTTAAGGAGAAATATCTGGACTTTGGATTACTTCTTACAACGTTGAGGATTTACAATTCAAATGTGAAGTCAGTCCTGCTGTATGGATGTGAAACATGGAACGCATTACAAAACTGCATAAAGAGGATCCAGGTTTTTTTAAAACAAGTGTCTAAGGAAGTTACGGAGGATCAGATGGACAGACTGGGTCACCAACAAGGAAGTATTAAGGAAACCAAGGCAGATCCAAGTCAGAGATTAGGTGGGAAGTAGGCGATGGCGATGGATTGAATATACTCTCAGAAAGCCGGGCAACTGCATATCAAAGAAAAGTGTCAGATTGGAATCCACAGGATAAAAGATCAAGGGAAGACGCATGGAACCTGGAGAAGAATCACATAATTGATGTACAGAAATGTGGAAAGACATGGAATAACATCAACAGGCTAGCCCACGATAGAGAAAGGTGGAAAGTGTTAGTCCGTGGCCTATACCCTGGTGCAAAGTGAAAAAGAAAATAATGATGATGATATTTCCCAGTATCTACCCACAAAAAAGTCAGAACTAAAAAGTATGCACTGACCAACCACCGATGTGTCAACGTGAAGGGAAGCAATCATGTGATAAAAATCAAGATTTTCAGTAGCCCGTATGGTTGTGTCCCCCTCTGTATGTACTGTTAGCAAGGCGACCAACAGACGAGACTCTCTCTGCAAGCCACCAGGAGGTACAACCCATCCAGTGTCAGAAACAGCACGCGTAAACACCAATCCTGCCTTTTCTTTCCTCACCCTTACTATCGTAATTTTTCCTCTATTTCTTTTGTGTGTTTGTCACTATTTCTTTTGTATGTTTGTCACTCTCTTGTGAACTTCTATTTCCGGTGTGCCTAGATAGTCGAAGGAGACTTTGTGGTGTTGAGGCTAGAGAGGTGAGCAGAGTTAGGCCGATTCATTCTCCCGTTTGGACGTCTCTGTTGACATCTCCGGGGAGTGCTACTAATTGAAATGTCTTTAGGCCATTCCCAACGGCGGGATATTAACTTATTAACATGTTCTTATGCACCGTAGAATTGTAAATGGGCTGTTTTATCCACGTCATGCTCATACTGTGCCCGAACACAATAGGGGGAACTGCTGCTTTTTCTTTCTTCAT